GGGGGGGGGTCGGATTCGTATGCTGTGTGTGATCCAGAAAACACGGAAGTAGGACATTTATGACTCGCACCTCGAAGAAGAGCAGTGAAATCAAGGCTAATGGCTTCCATCGTGATAATGTGAATGTGATGGCGCTCGACAATGCACCCTCTGTGGATGTAAAACAATCGAAGCATTCGACATGAAACAACCGTACTGATGTACGACATTTCAAGGTTAGGAACGGCACACAGGGAACTAGTTCGCGCGGCGGTGTTAGAATACGTGCTCAGTTACTGCCACACGTACTGCTGCGACTATGTACCGGGATTAGGGAATTCGTTAGCGTAGGTGAGAGAGAGACTGCGGCGCACTCCCGAGAAATTTGGGTTCCGTCGCCGCTGCAGGGAGGCATCTCGTAAATTGAAGACTGCATGTTTTACATTTCAGCATTGATCACAACCTGCTCTGCATTGGTCTTCGTGTGCGTCCAACTGTCTTGTAGTCATCAGCACAATTGACAATACTGGCTTGAGTCGAGGATGTTTTTTCGCTTCCGACTTGGCAGCTAATCCCGCTGAAAATCTTGTCAATCAATCTCAGCATGGCCCAACGTTTTCTACAGTCTCAACATTTCGATGACGTTCCCTTTCATGCGTTCACTGTCACGTCACAGACTGTTTAATTTGAGCTGGCCGCTTCTTATTGATATGTGAGCGTTTTTTGCCCGCTGGGCTGCGTTGAGGTCATGCATTTCTTGCTCATGTTCCTTTGGAACGATATTTATTGCTTCCGCTCCTTCCGGGCTTGCAACTACCAAACACAATTTCCGAGAGGAATATGAGAGTAATATCCAATATGTCACACATTGTTGTTTCACTTTTGGCTCAGTATTCACAAAAAAATATCGTCGGGCATTTATTCAAAGGGGTGGGGGGGGGGGGGGGGTTCCTGCAGGGGAACGTTAACACTAATTTCTTCTGATAGCATTTTTGCAAGTGTTTGAACGCTCCGAGCATGGCCCTGAATTTGGAAAGCAAAACCGAGTTTGTGTTCAGCTGCTATTTCTGTTGTCGTCTTCCAACTTTTGTGTGTGTGTGTGTGTGTGTGTGTGTGTGTGTGTGTGTGTGTGTGTGTGTGTGGCCAGGCTCCAGCATCTTGCAGCCCCCTCTGAGCCTCTGGCCACTTGACTGCCACAGAAAGGATTTGTAACACTCAGTGACTCGCTCAGTGGGGTCACTGAGTCATTCAATTCATTGACATGGCTCAGCACATCTTCACCATCGTTCAGATTCTTCTTTTTTTTTTTTTGCACAATGTGCATGTTTCTACCCTCGCAGCAGCTGCTGCTGCTGCTGCATCATGCAAAATTTATTCTGCCAGGATGAGCCGTGACGGCGCTGCTGGTGCTGCGGAGGGAGACGTCAGTTGCCACTAAGCGGTCGCTCTGCAGTGCTGCGAAGGACAAGCGGGACTCGCCGTGCCGCCGCAGCAAGCGCAACAAGATGGCCATCTGAGCAACCTGTCAATGTGGGAAGCGTACGCACTGGTTTGTCTACATCCACAAGAGGCGAGACAGGATGGGAAACATAGCCCAGGGATAGCGAAGCAAGCTCTGCGATTAGACGCTCGATGCTGCAAAATTGGCTGTGTGTAGCCTTTTTTTTTCTTTTTTCTTTTTTAAAAATCTCTCTCGATGTTTCTGAAGTATGTTTTTTTGTCTGCATCGTTGTGTGCGCACGACGGTGTGTGGACATTAGATAGAGAACTCAACATTTGCTATCTTCGCAAAGCACCCTCAAATGTTCACGCCTCACTGGGATGCGGGATGTTATCAACAATCACAGTTCCATGCAGAACTCCTATGATCAGATCAATAAATCGATTATTATATCTGTTGCTATTTAAGTCGGGCCGCAGTCCCGCATGAGTGTCTTTTCCATTTATCCTCTGACTTGCTGACATGCCAGTTGATGTTACCCATGTGATTGCTGGCTAATTGGCCAATTAACCCTTTCATGCACCCTGTAGGGTGGCCCGGTGGTCCACTGGTTAGCGCGTCGACCTCACAGTACAGAGGTAAAGAGTTCAATTTCAGCTCCGGCCTCCCTGTGTGGAATTTGCATGTTCTCCCCGGGCTGGCGTGGGTTTTCTCCGGGTACTCCGGTTTCCTCCCACATTCCAAAAACACGCATTACAGGCTGATTGAACACTCCAAATTGTCCCTGAAAGAGTTAATAAAGAGTTGAAAGTCTTATCAAGGCAAAATGATAAGAACGCTACCTGGATGAGGAGACGACGATTCGCTTCAAATATTTTTTAATTTAATTTCCAGTCGCTGCAGGAGTAATTTTAATGCTCTGAAGATGAGCGGACTGTAACAGCAAAACGGATGTGATGTGAACAGCAAAGCGGAGGCAGCATTCTCCCCCAGGTACGGGACCTTTACAGCTGTCCGGTTCTTGTTGTGATCACTGCATGTTCTTCAGCAAAAACTCGAAGAGGAACATTACATAAATTGTGCGAGATGGGGAAAAAAAAACAGCACGAGTCGACAGCGTGACAAGAAGAAATGAGTAGCGGCAAACTGGACCGGTTTGTCCAGACCGTCCGGTTGTTTTCGGAGGAATGTTGGCTTTAACTATCACATGCTTGGAGCTGTCAGTGTGCCTGTACGGGCTATGTTTATTCGCTCCTGCTGCGGAAGCTTTAGGATGAGCTCTGAGTGGGTCGAATGACCTTTAGTGCACACCTAGGTAGTACAAGGTTACACTTTAGAAGAGAATAAATTGCTCCAAAGGTGTGTCTGCTGATGGCATGGGAGCCAGGGAGTGGAAAAGGCCATGTGGTATGTATTTTTATCCGGCAATGTTCCTGCTTGCATCATTCTCATCCCAGCGGTGGGGTACGCGTATTTTTGCAGTCAACGCATTGGTCGTGAGCTTGTGTAAGCATTCCCATAACATGGCGGGAAATCACCACGTTTACGTGGTTGCCGTTGTTTACGGGAAGGACCTGCCCATTATTCCCAATCAAAGCGGACGCCGGTCCGTCTATTGTCTAAGCTGCGGAAAAATCAGGGAAGGGCTTCGCTACTTTGTGTTCTGTTCTTGACGCTTGCCGAAAAGTGTCAGTCTTCACCATGAAAGCGCACATGCATTCAAAAAAAAAAAACAAAACATTTTTGCTCATGAAATAATGGGTGAATACTGTTTTTTTTTTACTTTTAGGATTAGGAAATTGGAGTTTGACCAAAATTTTTTTTCACTGTGTTCCCTGAAGTAATTCCAACCCCCCACCCCCGGCTCCATTTTAGTCGTTCACATCTCACTATACAGTTGCTATGTTGCGGTCCGGGACCAGCTTTTAATTGGCTAACGTCGTCATCTGCTCATTTATGTGCATGCAGTGGGAATAATTAGCATGTGATCTCGGTCTTCCTCGCTCAGATCCTTATGACTGACTCAAGTGGGTTAGTTAGTGTTTTATTTGGGATGTAGTCGCATATTTTTTTTTCCTTCTTCTTTAGACCAGCGGTCCTCAACCTTTTTTGCCCCACACCGGTTTAATGTCAGACAATATTTTCAGGGACTGGCCTTTAAGGTGTGACGGATAAATACAACACAATAATATATGACCCGCATAAAAATGATGGTATTTTCTAAACATAATAAATACGAATCATGACACGAGGAATGTCCGATCTGGCCGCAACATTCTCTGGTCGCTATGGTAACGTTTAAACGTGCCTTCAAAATAAGATACGCTGCAAATACACAGTGCATGAAAAATACGACTCACCATCGCTGCATGTTATGCAGAGTGGGTTTGGTGTGCGGGAATCTCCCGTTGAGATACATCCGTATTTTGAGTAGGACTCCTCTAATACTGTCTATTACATGTAGCCTTTGTTTTCTTGAAAGTCGTCGGCTCCTCTTCTGTTTCCTGGCTGGGCCTTTTCCTCTTCCCAAAGAAACTTTCTAAAGACGTTTGTTTTGCACTCATTTTACTAGCTCCCGGGTCTCATTTTAGCAGTAACCTATCACGTGACAGAGAAGCGCACCTTGACCTGCAGTGACGTCCAGTGGATGATGTAACAGAGGATCGGGTCATTTTTCAAAATGAAACATCTTTCACAGTCCGAAATAAATAAAACGGAAGTAATGGAAGTTATTTATTCTTTCTGTGCGGCCCGGTACCAAATGACCCACGGACCGGTGCTGGGCCGCGGCCCGGGGGTTGGGGACCACTGGTTTAGAGCACTACTAAACCCAATTTCACCCTTTCATGCACCCTGTAATCTGATAACACGACAAGCTGTCCACTGGAGTAACCGCTGTCCCTGAAAGGGTTCGAGACAATGCTTCAACTTCAAAGCACTCGTGCGTAATATTCTATCATCTGGGTCTTCTCTGGAGAACTAACCATCATCGTCGGTCGGATGTTACTTGTACTGGTGAGTGTAATGGTGTCTATTTGAAAAAGTGGACAAGTTATGTTTAAGACACCACCCACCCACCCGGCCCCCTCTCAACCCACTGGTGTATTGATTGTTTGCATGTGAGTGACATTCCATGGATGATACGTGCGTATGATGGCGTCAGAGGCGCATGGAAGACTCATATCGAACATGAGACGAACTTGCTCTCTTTGGGAATGTACGCATCGCTACTCGGAAAAGTCATGTTGAATGCATCGTTTCCTCACCCACAGGCGAATACTCAATGATATCACATGCGCTCTGCCCACATAGAGCGCTGCACGCGCAGACATCCGAGGTTCCGTCTGTGCAGACCATTTGTCTCGTCCTGCGGCCCGCTCGCGCGCTTTCTGACTTTGCAAGATGATGAGATGGTCAGCGCTCCTGAATGGGGCCCGCACTAGTTGGCAATCAGTCATTCCAGGAGGGGAAATTCGTTTTGTTATAGTTTACATCAAGAAGGAGTAGAAAAGGCTCAAAGTTGAGTACACGGTGTGTGTGTGACACGAACACTGCTCACGTGTTAGTCCGAAGACCTTCA